CATACAAAAATGTACAGTACATGCCTATTCTCAGCTAATAAATCTTCAATGTATTTCCTTCTTTTGTGTAAAAATTGTATTTAGAAATGACTAACATTTACTGTAAAATACAACATTAAAGTTAATGAAGATTAAGAAGATAAATACATTTGTAGAAGTTTTCAAGAACCAAAATATGTACACACTTTTTTGGATATTATTAGATTTTGTAAGTAGACTCTACAAATATTATTGCTTTAGAAAAATTACATTTTTCGTTTAAAATTTGCTGTATTATATTCCAAGTTATACACTACGGAAATTCTGTTCTTTTTAAAGATAAATGCAATTTTTAAATTGATTAATTATTATGAGCAATAGCAATTAATTCAATTGAAAATATGAATTAATAAGAAACTGATTTATCTATGATTCTAGAATTGATAGGATAAGGCAACTCAACACATGGAAGATCTGTCAACTGGGACTTTCTATGGTAAACTTGGCCCTATTTAGGTGTTAGACAAGAGAACAGCGACATACATGCGACCAGCTTTTCGGTCAGGCGCGAATCCGCGATCAATGCTCAGTGGTTTTATCCACTCAGCCACTTCTGAACAAAACTGGTTTATCATTCACAAAGAAAATGTTTTCAATCATATTTAAAAAGTCAACATTTTAAAATAAGAATACACAATTTAGAATGAAAAGTGAATAATTTCCGGCAAAAACGTCAAAAATACTTTAAAATATATACAGTATATGATAGGAATTTTTGTTCGGTTGACCCAAAACTTCATTAAAATTATTCCATTTTATTTTTATTTATTTTCTTTTCTTTAAAATGAATATTAAAAACTTTCTTTCATAAATCCTGTTAAAATTTTAAATAATATATAGGATTAAATACAAAAATAATATCATGATATTTTTAAAACAATGTTTTAAAGAGTGATATAGCATTTGTAGTAAAATTATATTATATACGATAAATTAAAAATAAAACAGCATTATTTTATAATATTTTAAAATTTGATCTATGTTAAACATTAAAATAAGTATAAATTTATTGGAATATATGTATTGTGGTTATTCAGCAGAAAAGTTTACAAATCATTTTATTTTTGAGTGTTTGTGTTAAATTTTTCTTTATTTTGGCAATATTTGCTTTCTGTATTTTTCCTTTTAATACAAATTCTAGAAATTTTAGTTGCGCCTGCAATAGTAATTCATATCTCGGCTGTTCCCAATAGATAACCAGAAACATTACTTTAATCTATGAATACGAAAAATAGACAAAAAAAAAAAAAAAAAAAAAATTCTAAAATTTTTAAAAATTTTAAAATTGTAATAAGTAATTTAATATAATTCAAAATTTCAGCTACCTTGAATAGTTCTTTTAAAGAAAGCTTTGCATGCTTCACATGAGGCAACTCCATAATGGAAACCTGATGCGACATCACCACATACTAGACATAATCGCTTTGGAGAATCAGCTTTTCCTTCAGAATTACTGACATTCATACTTCCTGTGCCATCTCCAGGTATGGTACTAGAACAAAACATATCTTGATGATGACTTTCAGGACTAATTGGGGGCGATGGTGATTGTTCTGCAGTATCACTTGTATAAAGATCCTTTAAAAAATGATTCTTTGTTATAAAATATTTGAAACAAGCAAATAAAACATAAATATAAAAAAAAAAGTAAGAAATTTACCATGTTAAATTATGAATGAAAAAGGTCACTTTTTTATATGTTTAAAAAATGATTTTCAATTTATTTTAGAGATTGCATAATTATAGCATTATATCATACTTTACAAGAATAATTTATTAAAAAATTTACCATTGTTATTTGTTCAGGTGACCTACAATGTAGTTTACTACTACCAACTGGTTCAACTGTTCCAAAATCAGTTTGTCCATTTGATAATCCTGAGTTGGAAGGAGGATAAATGCAAGGTGATGGAGGACAAACTGATAAACAGGTACTCTGTGCTTCATTTCCATCTTCTGTCTTAATCTGAGATACAATCACACTGCTATAACCTGCCATCACAGTGTACTACAAAAAATTTATACACAACAATTATAAACAAATATAAATATTCAATTCTTAGTTTAAAAATAACTTAACCAATAATATTTTCGACACTTAGTTAATGAATATGAATAAGTTCAAATTTCTCTTAATGCACTACAATTTTTGACTCAAACCATCACAAAAAATAATTATAATTAAATGTTGATAGTTTCCTACATTTAAGAAAATTACATGTATAACTTAGTATTAGAAATTTCACTATAATAATTATCTTTTGAATGATGATAAATTATTATTATTTTTTAAAATTTATATGAAACATGTAAAAATACACCTTAGACAACATAACAATAGACTCTGGTTGATCGGTAAATTAATCCTTATGCTATAATGTCAGTATCATATATTAAAAATGAATCACTCCATAAAGTATTACAGAACTTAAATTATTCATATATGAGTAGTATAAATTTTTAATTATTCCTGACTATTATTATTCCAGATGATATTAAATATATGTATTATTTAATTCAGATGTTAACCTTACAAACTACTCAGTGTTTTTTATGAAATTTTTAAAACAAATTAAATACAACATATACTGATATATTCAAAAATGCTTTTCCTCAATAAAATGATTAAGTTAATATTTACAAATATTTTTATGAACTGAAATATTTGAAGTATTCTAATATGATGCTAAATAGAAGGGCATTAGAGCATTTTTGAAATTACCGATCAAAGCATTTCATAATTTTTATGTGTAAATTTTAATTTTAATTTGAATCTGTAATTCCATTCTGTTGAAAACTTCAATGTAATTGAAATAGCCTGAAGATGACTTTAAAAGAGATTAAAAAGATTAGTATTTAAGAAAGTTGTTATGCTGGATTAAAAGTTTAGTTATGTGAATTATCATCATTATGCAACAAGTTTTTTTCTAAAATGGTATTTGAAATAATTTAGAAGTGTTTAAACTGTTTATACTTTAACACAACATGAAGTTCACTTTTAAAGACTAATGGCCTACTATGATAGCAGAAAACACCCATAATCTAATGTACTGTATCAGTTTGTATCATTTGCTGTTTGTATGAGTGAAATATGTTCAGTTATCTATCATTTCACATACTTTCGTATTTTTAAGAAGACAGTTGATTCTATACAGATACTGATGATGGGCTGTAAAATGTAAGTTGGCCTGAAATGCATATAGTTATGTATGTAATCAACCAAAATAAACATAATTAAACAATAGTTTTGGATTGTTAAATTACCAGTAGTTTCCTATACACCTGCAGACACAGGATTACAGAATTCCCAAGAATTTTCTAATTGGAATATAGCTGGTATCCCAACAAGAAAGGAAATATTTAAATGCTAAATTTGGCAAAATTTTGTCTTGGATTTTGAATGATGCTTTCAAGTTTGAACTGTGTGCACAGTGAAAAACTGTGCTGGCTGCTTAAACACCATCTGCTATGGCTTCAAGTTGTCTCTCATTCTCATGTTACACTCATAGGTTTTCACCTCTTTTTATACTTCATTTTTGGTGTGTTTGGTTATATATATTGTGTGTTATTCGTTGATGTTTAACAATTTCTTCCTGCAATTTTTCTTTGTTGATGGCTTTTGGACACTCCATATATTTTGTATCCTTTAATTCAAAATTTCTTGAATGGAATTTTTAAACCACAGTTGACATGTTCAAAGTTTAGGAGCATCTTCCCCATACACATTACAATTTTTTTTTACTGTTTGTATGGTGTAATTGCCTTTTTGAAACTCAAAGCATAATATGCCTTGTTATGTTTTTTGTGAAAGGTTGTAATATCAACAATTGAAGTGAAAGAAGTTATCATGAAGCATGACAGTGGTACATGTGGCAGATCTGGCAGCCATGTTTAAACTGTTAAAGTTGACAGGGTATGACCAATAAATGCAATTTTCATTTTATTATGCAGTATTTACATATTTTATTTATTGTTTTCAAGTTTCAATTTATTATTAGGTCATTTAATTGTGTTATTTTTACCTTGAATTACGCATATTTGCTGTTTTAAGTTTATTGAAATGGATATTGTTTAGAGTCTGAGAATGGATTAATTGACTTTCCATTATTTCTAATAGGAAAAATTGCTTCAGACTTTGAGTCATTCAGAGTTTGAACTGCTTCCTGGAATGAATTAAATTCAAAGTACGAGGCACCACTGTACTTTTGTGTACAAAATAACTATCTACAACAATAGCAACAATGAATAATTAATTATAGCTCAGAGTATAGTTTTGTTTGCTTTAATTGTCATTTTTTTAAACTTACCTAATTTGAAAAAATTATCAACTTCACTTTATAACTGAGCCACTCAATTAAATATTAAAATTTTTATGCTATAACTTCTATATGATCCATCTTTGACTTAAAATTTTTTAATATAATTATAAAACAGACCAAAATGAGACATTTTCAAACAGTTTAAAAATTGGAACTGTGCTACCTAATTCAGGATATCTGTTCATTTTATTCATGATAGCCTTACTTAACTGTATATTAAATGCTATATCATGGCCTTAAAACAAAATTATTATTATACATCAACAGAAAATAAATAATAAAATAATTTCCTCTCAATTTGAATGATCAGTATTTTTTCTAATACTAGCACATTAAATCACATTAATACTAGCACATTAATTTCATACATCTGCCTCTTCCAAGAGTGTGGTCAATCCTTTTTAACTTCCAATAAATGATGAATAAATTAATGATGAAACGATGAACACTATCTTTTTAAGTATTTTCACACATCTTCAAGATCATTGGCATGGATCTATGTATCTTATGTATCTATATATTGAGAGAGATGGGCCAATGACAATGAGTAAGAAAAATTTCTTGTCTGTTTTTGAGTGGATAAAAAAATATGGTGTACCTGTTATGTAGTGCTTGTTTTTACTCCTAATTTTTGTAATATGGTATAAAATAAAATATGTTGGGAAGGAAGACACTTTACTAGAATAAAAATATTGGGGAAATATGTCACCCTCTGTCTTATATGGATCTACACTAAGGTGACCAGACATCCTGCTTTTGGCGGGACAGTCCTGATTTTTAACAATTTGACCCATGTCTCGTGATGTTTTAAAAAAGTCCCAAGTTTTGGAAAGATTAAGTTTTTGTCAATTATGTGTCATAAACTTATGCCTTATGTCTAAGATTTGTGAAGATCATTTTGTATCACGCATATCAGTGCCAAGATGTGCATGAGCATTGTAAATAAAGAATGCTGCGCCGACAAAACCCTTTGTGTTTGTAGTAGAGACTGACAGAAAATAGTTTGGGACTCATAGCTGCAGCAACAGAGCAGCGCATGTTCACAGGTTGTCCATGTTGCATGTTACATGGCACAGAGCTCTTGTCTGTCACCACCTTAGAAAGATAGTGACTAGCGAGAGTAAGCACACTGGTTTGCATCGTTCTATTGCTAGTGGTGGGGTTGGGGTTCATTTTGGTTACAACAGTATTATATAATAAAAAAATTACAATAATAAAGTAACACTCAAGGCAAATTCAGAGGAAAGTTAGTATTATTATTATTTAGATCACAAATCACAATTAAGTGTTGAGACTTTAAAAGCCATATTATGTGTGAAATATAATTTAACAAATTCTTGCAAAAAATTTCATGACATTTTAAACAACAGCAGCAATCTACTAAAAACAATTTACTCAAATGAGAAATATGCAAGAGTTTTTAAAGATTTGTAATAGTATATATATTTATTATATTTGTAAATTTTACATATGTTGAAATTTAAAAATATATAATACAATACAATTTTTGCATTGTTTAATAATAAATTTTTTGTTGCTCTAGAACAATTTTTTCAACAAGACAACCACTCCCCCCCTGAAATTTTGACCCGTTTCACCAATGTAGTCACCTTAATCTACACCCATGTTCAAGACAACATTAATAAAACAGTAATGTTGTCATCCTATTTCAATTTACCACATTAATCAATTAATACATGTTGAGTTTAATAATCACAATTAATAAATGTGTGACAATTAACATTAACAAACTGAAATTTAATGCAAAAAAAAAAGGAGAGAAGACACCTCTATAAAAATTCAAAATTCTTCAATGTAACAAGTGCATGGTCATTCTACACACAAAGCTTTTGGTGACTGTTGTAAAACAGTGCCAACAGTATGAAGCAATGTGCTGAATATGGTTGCCTCGGTCTCTACATACAGTGTGCCTCAATACTCCTACTTGCTGAGATGTCTCTGATTACAATAACCATAAAGGCATAAACAGTGCAACAAATCAATAATTATGAAATTATATTTACAATCTCAAAATTTTATAATGATTATTAATGATAGCAGTTGTCAAGAAATTTGCTAATTGCTGTCCAATATCAATGTGAATCAGCTTTTTAAAGCCATCCTCAACAAGTCTTGCTCTGTAGCATTCAATAATACCATCAGCTTTTGTTTTTATACACAAAAATCAATTAAAAACAGGTGAGTTCTGACTGATCATTTTACCATTGACCAGCCACCATGTTTCATTTTTCTCTTGTGCATTAAGCTTGTCTTTCACTACCATCTCCCACTGCTTCCAGCCCAATGAGTTTTTCGCTTCTTCGAATATTTCCAGATAGGTCATGACCATCAGTGGCCAATTAATTTTTCAGGTGTGATTGACTTGCTTAGAGTATTATGAGCCAGTCTTTCAACTATCTTTGTGCCAATGTCACTTTTGTCAGTTGTTGATGATGTAGTCACAGCTTTTTCATGTATTTTCAGATGCAACTTTCTTCATGTTTCATTCCCATAAACAATATGCTCTTTGCTTTGATTCATAGTCAACTAATACTGTCAATTTACTTTTCAGATCTAGTTTCTTGCAAAACTGTTCATTGATAAGCATATATACATTACTTCCAAACACCTTTAATGTTGAAAAATCTGGCTGAATGACAAACCATGTGAAGAATAAAACTCCACGTGAATGAAGAATAAAACTCCACAGTTCATGTGGAGTTTTATCCTTCAGTTGAAAGTTTCGAAGGAAGGCCACCATGTTACAGGCCTCAGCCCAGAGTGATTGGGGTAAGCCACTGGTAATTAACATTGTACTGTACATGCCACTTCAATGAC